GCACCCTAAATTGCCCCCTCCTTTTTACCTGTTTCTTCTCACTAAGACAATTGTTTTCTATGAAGATAGTAGACAGCAGAAGGGCAGGAAGTAACCCGAGATCTATTACTTATTAATATGTATGTACGCATCATTTTTCCCTTTTCTGAAATGCATAAATATCAGTGCATTTCTCTTGTTTGGAGGGGTGGCTCTCACCATCCTCCTGGTGGACCCCCTCCAGTATGAACTGTTTATATAATAAACACTGCAGGGAGCCCTGATTATTTCTTTGGGTCCTGCGCTTTGATCCACACCAAACTCAAAACTCATCTATAGCTCAGCCCTTATCCAAAACCTGATACCAACCAGGCCCACCCTTTTGCAGACCGCAGTCCTGCTTCTCTCAGGTTAAGTTTGCCCCAAGGTTTAGAGAGTTACCGACAGTCTTGAAGCAGCCCAGCATGAAATTGGAAAGGAAGGCCCGGTTTTGCTTATCTGAAATCTAATCTCAAACCCTGAATCAAGAGAGGAGGTTCTGCTCCCCCGCAGCAAGTCCTGGCACGCCAGCCAGACAGAAGTCAGCTCCAGCAGGAATGTCAGCCAGACTTTTAACAGTGCTGGCATTTGAGTCTCGAGAGGGGAGGGGATGTTTTAAATAGATCTCAGCAGCTCTGGCCAAGACCCCTTGGTTGCCCAGGACGGAATCACGCCAGGATCTGCACTGCACCCAACTTCAGTCCTGTTTCTTGCCACTCCCCTCAAGAACCCTGAGGAGTGAGATGGTAGATCCAAGTGAGGAAAGAGCCCCCAGCTCCCCCCTCTGCAACAAACAGCAATGCAAGAATGCCGGAGGATTTATTTTCTCTTCCTCACACACACATATACGGGCAAAACAGATGGAGGTTTGGGCTTCCACGCAAATGCACCCAGAGCCAGCCCCAGCAAGAAAGTAGGGAGATCCTTTACACTGTACAGTTTTACTTTTACAGCTTGCAAATTTAACCAGGATTTGCCAACAGCAACAGGACTCCAGCAGCAGTTGCTCACACGGCAAGGATGTCACCTAGGCGGCCACCCTCTTTGCACCCATCCTGACGTGTGGAGGCGGGAGGAGGGCAGGGAAGAGGAGAAGCCCAGCCACTGCAGCCCACAGGCTTACGGAGCCCAAGAGGGTGTTTGGCCACGGCACCAGAGACTTTGGAAAAACAGGTTTCCCAACGGTCCCAGATGGAGAACAATAATTGCATCTTCTAGTGTTTCTCAACCTCGGGAACTTTAAGACGGGTGGACTTCAGCTCCCAGAATTCCAACTAGAGACTGA